GGACTAATATTCAACATCCTTAAAGAAGAGAACTTTCAACCCAGAGTTTCATATCCAGCCAAACTAAGCTTCATTAGCGAAGGATAAATAAAATCCTTCATAAGCAAGCAATTGCTCAGAGATTTCATCACCACCAGACCTGCTTTACAAGAACTCCTGAAAGAAGCACTAAACATAGAAAGGAACCACTAGTACCAGCCACTCCAAAAACGTACCAAATGGTAAAGACCATTGACACAACGAAGAAACTGCATCAACCAATGGGCAAAACAACCAACTAGCATCAAAATGGCAGGATCAAATTCACACATAACAATATTAACCTTAAATGTAAATAGGCTAAATGTCCCAATCAAAAGACACAGACTGGCAAATTGGATAAAAAGTCAAAACCCATTGGTGTGCTATATCCAGGAAACCCAGCTCACACGCAAGGACACACATGGGCTCAAAATCAAGAGATGAAGGAAGATTTACCAAGCAAACGGAGAGCAAAAAAAAGCAGGAGTTGCAATCCTAGACTCTAATAAAATAGACTTTAAAACAACAAAGATCAAAAGAGACAAAGAAGGGCATTACATAATGGTAAAAGGATCAATGCAATAAGAGCTAATGATCCTAATACATACACACCCAATACAGGAGCACCCAGATATATAAAGCAAGTTCCAAATGATGTAAAAGACACTTAGATTCCCACACAATAACACTGGGAGGCTTTAACACTCCACTGTCAATATTAGACAGATCAACAAGACAGAAAATGAACAAGGATATCCAGGACTTGAACTCAGACCTGGACCATGCAAACCTAATAGACATTTATAGAACTCTCCACCCCAAATCCACAGAATATACATTCTTCTCAGCACCACATCACACTTACTCTAAAACTGACCACATAATTGGAAGTAAATCACTTCTCAGCAAATGCAAAAGAACGGAAATCATAACAAACAATCTCTCAGACCACAGTGCAATCAAACTAGAACTCAGGATTAAGAAACTAACTCAGAACCACACAGCTTCATGGAAACTGAATAACTGGCTCTTGAATGTTGACTGGATAAACAATGAAATGAAGGCAGATATAAAGATGTTCTTCGAAACCAATGAGAACGAAGACACAATGTACCAGAATCTCTGGGACACATATAAAGCACTGTTTAGAGGAAAATTTATAGCAACAAATGCCCACATGAGAAGCAAGGAAACATCTAAAATTGACACCCTATCATCAAAATTGAAAGAGCTAGAGGAGCAAGATTTTAAAAACTCAAAAGCTAGCAGAAGACAAGAAATACCTAAGATCACAGCAGAACTAAAGGAGATAGAGACACAAAAAACTTTCAAAAAATTAATAAATCCAGGAGCTGTTTTTTTTAAAGGATCAACAAAATAGTCCACTAGCCAGATTAATAAAAAAGAAAAGAGAGAATAATCAAATAAATGCAATAAAAAACAATAAAGGGATATCACCACAGATTCCACAGAAATTCAAACCATCATCAGAGATTATTACAAACAACTCTATGCACATAAACTAGTAAACCTGGAAGAAATGGACAAATTCCTGGACACTTACATCTTCCAAAGCCTAAACCAGAAAGAAGTAGAAATCCTGAATAGACCAATAACAAGGTCTGAAGCTGAGGCAGCAATTAAGAGCCTACCACCCAAAAAAAGCCCAGGTTCAGACAGATTCACAGCCAAATTCTACCAGACATACAAAGAGGAGTTGGTACCATTCCTTCTGAAACTCTTCCAAATAATCCAAAAAGAGAGAATCCTTCCCAAATCATTTTATGAGACCAACATCAATCCTGATACCAAAACCCGGCAGAGACTCAGCAAGAAAAGAAAACTTCAGGCCAATATCCATGGTGAACATAGATGCAAAAATCTTCAATAAAATACTGCAAGTTGATTGAAACAGCACATCAAAAAGCTTATCCATCACGATCAAGTAGCCTTCATCCCCAGGATGCAAGGCTGGTTCAACATATGCAAGTCTATAAACGTACTTCACTGCATAAACAGAACCAAAGGCAAAAACCACATGATTATCTCAATTGATGCAGAGAAGGCCTCTGACAAAATTCAACAGCCTTTATGCTAAAAATTCTGAATAAACTAGGTATTCTTATGACAAACCCACAGCCAATATCATATTGAATGGGCAAAAACTGGAAGCAATCCCTTTGAAATCTGGCACTAGACAAGGATGCCCTCTCTCACCACTCCTATTCAATATAGTATTGGAAATTCTAGCTGGAGCAATCAGGCAAGAAAAAGAAATAAAGGGTATTCAATTAGGAAAGGAGGAAGTCAAATTGTCTCCATTTGCAGACAACATGATTGTATATTTAGAAGACCCCATTATCTCAGCCCCAAATTTCCTGAAACTGATAAGAAACTTGAGCAAAGTCTCAGGATATAAAATCAATGTGCAAAAATCACAAGCATTCCTATCCAGCAATAACAGACTTAAAGAGAGCCAAATCAAGAATGAACTTCCATTCACAATTGCTACAAAGAGAATGAAATACTTAGGAATACAACTAACAAGGAACGTAAAGAACCTCTTCGAGGAGAACTACAGCCACTGCTCAATGAAATAAGAGAGGACACAAACAGATGGGAAAACATTCCATGCTCATGGTTAGGAAGAATCAATATTGTGAAAATTGCCATACTTACCAAAGTAATTTATAGATTAAATGCCATCCCCATCAAGCTACCTATGACCCTCTTCACAGAATTGGAAAAAAACACCTTAAGCTTCATATAGAACCAAAAGAGAGCCCACATAGCCAAGTCAATTCTAAGCAAAAAAACAAAGCTGGAGCCATCATGCTACCTGACTTCAAACTATACTACAAGGCTACAGTAATCAAAACAGCATGTTACTGGTACCAAAACAGAGAAATAGGCCAATGGAACAGAACAGAGGCCTCAGAGGCAACACCACACATCTACAACCATCTGATCTTTGTCAAACCTCACAAAAACAAGCAATCGGGAAAGGATTCCCTGTTTAATAAATGGTGTTGGGAAAACTGGCTATCCATGTGCAGAAAGCAGAAACTGGACCCCTTCCTGATATCTTACACTAAAATTAACTCCAGATGGATTAAAGAATTAAACATAAGACCTAACACAATAAAAATCCTGGAAGAAAACCTAGGCAAAACCATTCAGGACATAGGCATAGGCAAGGACTTCATGACTAAAACACCAAAAGCATTGGCAACAAAAGCCAAAATAGACAAATGGGATCTAATTAAACTCCAGAGCTTCTGCACAGCAAAAGAAATAATCATTAGAATGAATCAGCAACCTACAGAATGGGAAAAAATTTTTGCAATCTACCCATCTGACAAAGGGCTGATATCCAGANAAAAGTGGGCAAAGGATATGAACAGACACTTTTCAAAAGAAGACATATATGGGGGCCAACAAACATATGAAAAAATGCTCATCGCTGGTCAGTAAGGAAATGCAAATCGAAACCACACTGAGATACCATTTTATGCCAGTTAGAATGATGATCATTAAAAAATCTGGAGACAACAGATGCCAGGGAGGATGTGGAAAAATAGGAACACTTTTACACTGTTGATGGGAGTGTAAATTAGCTCAATCATTGTGGAAGACAGTGTGGTGATTCCTCACGGACCTAGAAATAGAAATTCTAGCTGACCCAGCAATCCCATTACTGCGTATATATCCAAAGGATTATAAATTTTTCTATTATAAAGACACATGCACACGCATGTTCACTGCGGCACTGTTAACAATAGCACTTGGAACCAATCCAAATGCCCATTGATGATTACTAGACAGGGAAAATGTGGCACATATATACCATGGAATACTTTGCAGCCATAAAAAATGATGAGTTTGTATCCTCTGTAGGGACATGGATCAATCTGGAAATCATCATTCTCCACAAACTGACACAAGAACAAAAAAACAGTGCATGTTCTCACTCATAGGGGGGTATTGAACAATGAGAACACATGGACACAAGGAAGGGAGCATCACACACTGAGGTCTGTTGGGGGGAACTACAGGAGGAACAGCGGGGGGGTAGGGAGTTCGGGAGGAATAACATGGGGGGAAGTGCCAGATATAGGTGATGGGTATGGAGGCAGCAAACCACAATTGCCATGTACCTATGCAACAATCCTGCATGTTCTGCACATGTACCCCAGAACCTAAAGTGTAATAAAATAAATAAATAAATAAATAAATAAATATCAGAAAAGCTAAAAGAAAATATTTTCATTCTCTTATAAAGCCTAATATATTTTCCGGTTAAAACTATATAATTAGATTAAATACACAAATGGTTAAGAAAAATTTTATAAAATTAAACAAAAAAGGTCTAGGTTATTTTTATTTATTACTCCAACAATATGACTTCATATTTTTCATAATTGTATAAAACAATTTGCTTTTCTCCACTTTAAAAGAATATTGAAAATTAAGATAATTCAAAATGTTGCATATAAATGTATACCCGTTACTTCCTATATCCACAAATGAACATTTCTAATGCTTTTCAGAATTTAAAGCATTAAGAAGTTAGTCATTTAGAATGTCAGCAGATATGCCTTTGACATGATATTACATTAAGCAAATAAACTCTGTAATAATTTTCTTATTTATATTTATTATGCCCAACATTTTATTGTCCTGAAACTTATTTTCACTGTATACCTCTTTTAGCTACATTTTTAATCTTGTGTGAGTGTTTGTGTGCACACATACATGTGTGTGTGATCGCATGTGGCAATCAATTCATATGCATATTCATTTTACTATTGTTCTTAGCTCATGAATTTTTTTGTTTTTATTTTTTGGTATGGTCAGAATCAGCATAAATGATGATAGACAGTCTCTATGATATAGTTCTTGATTTCTTTCTAAAAACTTTCAATGATTTTGTAACTTTTTATTCTTAAAAAGGATTAGGGCAATGGTTCATTACCTACCATAATCTGTGATTTTACAGGACACCAAATACAGCTCTTTCAGGTTTTGTCCTTCCTTTGCAATGACCTCCACACACCTGAAACACACACAAAATGTGGTGAGTTATACTAATGCATTTCAAGTTAAACTAGCAAGGGTTTGAATGTAACAGGAAGAGGTCAGTATTTGATGAATGCCACAGTTCTATTCTGTCAACAACCTTCTTTCAAAGTGTTTCAGGAAAGGTATTATATTCTCTGCTTTAAAGTGAAGTGCTTTCATACCTAAATGACTTCATTTAAATACATTTATGACTAGTGCATCTTTTAAAACCAAAGAGCTTAGAAAGAGTCCCATAAAAGAAACGTTACATTTGGTAATAAAGGACTAGTAAACATATGCTATTTAATGAATATATATCATTTACATAATAAAATAATATAAAATAATTATAATAAAACTGTAGAATATAGATGGTCATTATAGGTTGATGGTTATACACACATGGTTCAATTATTAATGATGGAATCAGGTAACACTGAAATAATATTTTTTGCAAAATTTTATTCCAAACAATACAAAAATATATTTGAAAAAGCTATAACTTTAACAGATTAAAGATGAAAGAAAATATGTACACATATCTTTAAAATCTTTTACTTTAAAATATGTTATTCTTAATTTTTAAATAAATTATAGGTTTAGGCCATTTTAACAATATAGATATAGATATTTAAGACTGTCTTTTCTAGTTTCATTTAAGTTATTATTATTTTTTTAATGGTGTACTCTGCTCTAATAGTCTTAGTGGAAGTTTTACTACAGAATTGAATGAACTTTAAAAATAATGATTAAAAATATTATCCATTTGGTGGCTCAGTTTCCTATAACATCAGAAACATTTGTGCAGTCATACTGACATACAGGCAAATACACCCTTCAATGCAGCCCCTGTTTCAATCTTTATAAATAACAGTTAAGTAAAGGGTAAAAGCAAAAAGAGTCATTAACCTTTTCTAGGAAAAAAGGATCAAGTAATTTGATACCTGTGTGCATAATCTATCAAAAAATTACTCAATATCCATCTCTGTCTTTCCTATATTTTATTTGCTGTCTGGCTTATTTGTAGGAATCTTCATAAAATGTCAGGAAATTTTATACAATTTTACTTCACATAATTCATTATTGAAGGTTAAATTAGTTATAGAGAAGACATATTTCTTTTAAAATATTTTTATGGAATTTCATTTTAATGGAATGATAAACATTTCAAATTTCCTCAGAATAACCAAATAAACATTCTTTTTTTCACTATTAAAAAAATATTTATGAAAAAATATTTTCATAAATTTTTTTCACTATTAAAAAAAATTTATGAAAAAATCTTTTCATAAATGGATAGGCTTTTCCAGGTCTAAAATAGGAAACTTAAAACAGTAACACAATCCAATTATGACTGATACCGGTTGTCAGGGAAATTTTAAAACTTAATTCCACGTCATATGGTTTTAAGATAATATTTGAATAAATTCATTGAAAAAGGATAAAAACAGAAATGAAACATTACCAACAATAATCATGTTTTATATGGTTATTTTATATGGTAAAAACTATTTTTACATGCTAAGAGTATTAAATAAAGGCCCCAGATGATTGTAATATCCTAAATCATTAAAAAGTAATCTGACTACTTTCTGTCAAATCAAAGGTACATATCTAATGTCCTCTTCTATTATAAAAAACCTAACAGATCCAATATTTTGCATGGCCACCAAAATCATTAATTGCAGTTTGTTCTTATGCTCTATTAAAATAGTTCAAAATGCCTGATTTATATTTGATTATGCTCTAAACAAATGTGATATCCTATTTATCTTCCTTCTACTTGATTTTAGATTAGATGTGATATAAGCACATATGAACACTAAAGACATACAGATAACTACAAATAGCAAATGACACAAATTGACTTCACTGTACAAGCCAAGTCAAATGTTAATGCATAGGCAACAAGAACCAACATTTATATAAAATAAGATGATCAATCACTGAATAAAGACTGTCCTAAAACTGATAAAAGGTCATGAACATCAGGTTTCCCACTTACTGACAGAGAAAAGTTCAAGAGGTGTAGACAATCATGAATACATATTATAAAATCATTTGGCACACTCAGGAGGCAATACAATAGCCAAGAGATAACACATTATTAAGAGTGAACAATGCTTTTCAGACAAAAAAGGGAGAAATATAAGAGAAAAACAATTTGCTTTTTATAGAGAATCACATAGGACTTTTGCTCTGCTCTTGAAAGTTTAGGTACACAAGGTTTCCAAATACTTTTAACTACCCTGATCACAGCCAGTGTGCCAAAAGTCAGGTACAACATAGAACTATTCCTGAAATAAAAATTAATGGAGATAAAACCATACTCCTTGGAAGACTTGTAGCAAAATATTAATTTTGTATCTGTTATGGATTTTACATGCAAGAAGAGAAACCCCAAGTTCTGTGATTGTGGACAGAAACTTCATATATATTAAAACACAAAATTGAGTGGTTGAAATAAGTAGATAAAGTAGCTGTTGTTTTGATAACTGAAAACGGAAGTGGTTTGCATTATCCCATTACTGCAAATTGGTAGAAATGGAACACCACCTCATGTTCCTGGCTAGTGCCTGAAGTCTTATAATCCATCTATGTAGCGTTTCCCAGGCAGCACGGGTGACAGCATGTGGAGAGATCGTAAGTGGTGTCTGTCCTTTTTGCCTGAAACTTTTAGAGTCCATTCTATAACATATTTGCAAGTAGTACATAACACAAATCTGTGAACATATTTACTTCAAATAATTCCACTGTTCTACAAAGAATCTTGGCTCAAGTCATAACCTTTAGTGTATTAAAATCAGGGCAATTCCCAGTTCACTGTATAGTATGTATGCAAAAACAAACTCATAAATCTTAGTATGGACTATAGATACAACAAGTTAAGAGGTATTTATAAATTGATATCAGTAAAAGAGAGAAATGTGTGCAAAGTGATCATCTTGAAGCGAGAAGGAGAGTGATAGATGTTTACTTCTTCATCACCTTTCTCACTCACAGATATCACATAGAAGAATATTCATTATTCATAGTGATGAATTAATTTGGTCCCTAGGAGCAAGCCATGAATCTCTAAACTCAGAATCTAGAATTCAAATTTTTCCTATTCTTCCCCAACCCCTTGGCCCATCATTCCTATAGACAAAGCTCAGAATATCATATGGCCAACATTCTCTATGGATCAGTAGGTTCAAAAATTTCCCACTTCATATATGATAACATAAGGAGTTATAAAATTTTGGAAAAGGACTGTCACCTTACAGAAAGTAACAATGTATAAGATAATTAAGAAAAATTTATAACATGGGAAAATGGCATAGTGGATAAATGCTGAAGAATATAAAATACTTTTAAAGTAGCTCTTGAAAGTAAAGCACAATTAAGACTACTAAACCATAAGAAGAGATCTGTCTTAACAAGAGAGAATAAAGGAATCAAAAGACACACATTCTAGTCTCCCCTCCAGGAAATCAACGAACAATCACATACATTTTTTGGAGCCATACATCATCATTCTCTACAAGATAAGTTCATATGAGAAAGTTCTCCAAATAAAAAATCTTAGGATCTTTTAAATATACTTTAATTTATTCTGAATTGCCTACCCTCAGTTTATTTTCCTGCTTTTATGTTTTGGCAGGGGTCTGAAGAGAATTAAAAAAAAAACATTGCTACCATTGTAAATTCTTGAGTAACAGCTGTTGAGTACATATATATATATAAACTCTTTTAGAATACAGAAAAAGGGCCAGAAAACCTGCTCCAAAGTATCCTAAGCATCCAGAGTTATTTTTGATAATAATGTAATTTTATGCTCACTTGCTTTTGATAATGTTCTAAAATGCACCTGAAACATTTGATGAAATATGAAAAACAACAGAAAGGTTACTTTTGTAAGCTAGATAGAATTTTTTTTAAAGATAAGAAGGCATTACTTATTTTCAGTAGAGGGAAAATCTGTCTCTTTAGCAATAGATTCCTAATCATATGATTTATGTGAAGGGTAAAGGTTAATGAATTAAGCTGTGTAAGCTTCAAAACTATCAAAGAAATTCAAAAGAGCCTTGAATTATGGAAAACAATGGCCCATTCTACATACATACCAAATTTTTATGTTTTTTTGTCTCCTACTCAAAAGCTAGAACATGGCATTAGTGACAATTGAAAAGAACTAATGAGGAAATATGACTACATCGCTTGCAATAGGAGTGTCCTAGGAGACCTTGTTACTGTTTTTGATGTGCTTCAAACCCAAAAGAAGCTAATTGGAGCTGCCAGACACTGGTTTGCAAATCTCACTTTAAAGGACAGGCTCAATCACCTCAGAGGTGTGAGAAGAAATGTCCCCATTAGAGATGCATTAGTATGTGGCTTGGTGAATTTCTAAATAAAATTTGGAATGTTCTTTCCTAAGTCACTTTTATATTTGAATAATAGATATATCTTTAAGGGAAACACAAATGCAACAAGACAAAAACAATCCCACAGATCTAAAGCAAAGAACTATGGAGAATGCCATAAAGTAATTGGCAAATAAGTGCAACCAGGAGCTAGGTATGTTTAAGGTTGAATAAACATGTGGATCAAACCTAAAATTCCTGAAGCCAACAAATCATAAAAGTGATCTATTTGGAGGTTTTAGAAACAGAACCTCAATTTCATCATTTCTTAAAACTAAAGAAGCCAAGAATCCAACCTATGTTACATAGATTGTAAGTGGGTAGGGGCTTAAGTAGCTACAACATACGCACACACACACACGAAGGGAGTAAAAAGTGTTTATGAAATCTAAAGAGAGTAACGAGAGCAAACAGTCCAATACCATGCTGCAGAAGCTCATCCTGACTAATTCATACATGGGTCATTTAAATGATAGCGGAGGTCACCAAAACACAATTTGGTATCTTACAGAAAAAATAATGATATCTGATTGATTTTTCTAAAGCTCCAAATCAAGTTTTACTGAAGGATAATCTAATCCCAGTGCAGTAA